AAGATTTTGGATGAGTTGATATGCCTTTATTTTTATTGCATTTTTTCTTTTGTGTTTCTATTTGGGTAATTTCTGGTGACCTAACTTCAAGTTGGGTCTGATTTTATATATTAGCTATATAAAGTGCATTAACAAGCCTATCAAAAATATTCTTCATATATCTTACTATGTTTTCTTATTATTTCTAGCATTTCAATTGAACCTTTTATTATAGCTTTATTCTTTCTGCTGAAATTTATCATCCATCATGTGTATGGCCCAATTTTTCTATTAGAACCTTTGACATATTAGTCAAACAATTTTAAATATCCTGGTGGTTATATCTGGGTCACCTCTGAGTCTAGTTTTGTTTATTAATTAATATGTTTCATGAGAGTAGGGTGTGTTTATGTGCTCTGTGTGTGTGTGTGTGTGTGTGTTAAGTTTTGGTTGAACACCCAAACATTCAGTGTAGAACAGCAGGGACAAATGTAAATAGTGTTTATGCTTAGAAATGGTCATGCTTTTTCTTCTAAACCCTGGGTATATGGGATTGAGTCAATATAGTTAGTAGTTATTGCTATGGTTACTGTCAGGGCACCACTTGTTTCAAATTCCTCTGATGTTAGTTTGTACTTAGGATGGCAGCTGGGATCATGGAGAGTTTTTTTCAATGTTCCTGTTGTATCATCAGATATTGGCTTTCCCTGCATGCTAATGTGATGGAGGAAGTCTTCTTTCATGTACTTGCATTTTCCACAGTGCTACGATGCTCTCATTTGCTCATGGGGGATTGTGAGCCTATTATTTAGTCCAGTCTCTGTTTTAGACAGGCCCTGTGGACTTGGCTTTCTTGGTTAGGCTTTCTCACCCACCTGCTCTGTCACCCTGAAGCAGCCAGACTCTGCCTGTGTCTTTGGTGATTATTTTTTTGTCAGCTTTCTGCTTTTTCCTCAGTGGTTGGATCTCCAATTTTATTGGTATAGGATGCTGGGCTCAGGACTGTTTTCTGCCCCTTTTCCATGGTAGAAGGTTCATTCTTTAATCTTCACCATATGTAAAGTGTCTTCATCTGTGTCCTGTGGCCTTAGGCTTGTTTTCTCCCCAGCATCTTAAGGCTTTGGTTCATGGAAGATCAGAACCTGGGTGGAGTATTATGTCTTACCTTCAAGGTAGTTGCCCCTTCCTCCCACAAGGCATGATGGACAGGGGCTTTCTCCTGTCTCTTGCCATTCTTCCAGTCTTCCATGAATACCCAGAGGAGGTCTATGGAGAAAACCTTGAGAGTGGTTGCAAACTCCTCTTTAATTTGTCATTCCCAGTGTTTTATACTTTCAAACTAGCTCACATTGAGTCACTAGCAATTTGTTAGACTTTTAAGCTGCTTGTATGACACCCAGAATATCTTCCTTCTGTGATCTTCTACAAGTAAACCAGGTTTCAAGGTATTTTTTCTTTTCTTTTTTTTTTTTTTTCCAGATTTCAGGTTAGTTGTTTAGCCATGTGCCTTCAACTGTCTGATAGGTTCAAGGAAAGTAATAATTTTGCAGTTTATCCCACTTTTTCTTGTTGTTAGGATTGAAGTGATGCTCTTCCTAGTTTTTTAGATCCTAGGCACAAGTTATCTGATTGTCTTTATAGAAAAACAATTAGAAAGGTATGTCTATACTCACTATTTCCCTTTGTTCTTTAATAAATCTACTCCATAAGGTTTGTACCATTATTTCTCCACTACAGTTGTTCTTTTCAAGGTCATCAGTGAACTCTGTGTTGTTAAATAACAAGGGTTAGTTCCTAGTCCTCATCTTATTTCATTTATCAGCATCATTTTATACAGATGATCTCTCACTACTTCCTCAGTAAAATACTTTAACTTGGCTTCTAGGACACCACACTCTCTTGGATTTCCTCCTGCATCAATGGCTGCTCCCTCTTGATCATCTTTTAGAGTTCCTTCTTTTTCCTCTAAACATTGAATATCCAGAGCTCAGTTTCTGGACCTCTTTTCTTCTTTAACTATACTTATATTCTTTTTCTGATCTCATCTAGTCTCAGAGTTTTAAATATCATCTATCCACTGACAACCTCCCCTGAACTCCAAATTTATATACTACTAGACATCTCATTTGAATGCCTAAGAGACATCTTAATTTAACATATCTAAAACCAGATCTTCCCCCAACAAACCTGTTCATCCTCCAGACTTCCCAAACTTAGTAAATGCATTCTCAGTAAAAGTCCTTCTATTTGCTCAGACCAAAACCCGTAAAGTCATCTTGACACCTCCTTTTAGATCCCCCATCCAGTCCATCAGCACATCTTGACTATATCTTCAGCATATATCCATAACTAATCACTTCTCACAATCTCCGCTATTACCACCCTCATCGATACTGCAATCATCTTTGGCCCTGACTATAACACTAGAACTCTGGTTTTTTCCCTTGTATTCATTCCCTATCTAGTCTATTACCACTGTAGTCAGCAAGAAAAAAAGCAATGGCAATTATAACTAGTAATGTGATATTCGGCAAGTCACAACCTTTCAATGTCTCATTTTCTCATTTGCAAAATAACAATGTGGGCAGAATTCTAAATATGTCTTCCCAAAATATCAGGTTCCCGGTTATTCAATCAAGTGTTAATCTAAGTATTCTGAAGGGACTTTGCAGATGGAATTAATGTCCCAAATCAGCTGACCTTAAGATATGGATATTAACTGGATGGGTCTTACTAAATCAGTTAGCCCCTTTAAAAACAGAAAGTTTTTTTCAGCTGGTGACAGAGGAGTCATTCAGAGATTTGAAGCATGGTGAGAATTTGACATGTCATTGCTGGCTTTGAAGATGGAAGGCTCCACACCCAGAGCAATGCTTGCAGTCTTTAGGAGCTGAGAGTATGCAAGAAAATGAGGACTTCAGTCTGACAGCCACAAGGAACTGAGTCAGCCAGTAATCTGAATGAATTTGGAAGCAACTACTTTCCTTGAGCCTCCAGATAAGATCTCAAGGCCCATGCCTTGTCAGCCTTGAAAGTCCCTGGAATCATGACTCACAGAACTATGGGATAATGAAAGTGTGTTGATTTAAGCCATTGCATGTGAGGTAATTGTTAAGCAGCAGTAGACAACTGATGCTGGGAACAAGGAACTTGTTTTTATTCTGTCTTAATTGCACATTTTCAGAGATCAGTCAGATCATGTCTGTCCTCTTCTTTTAAGAAATTGTCCACCACATTGCATTAAATAAAAGCCAAAGATGTGAGAGGATTCTGTATGGCCCTTCTTGCTCTCTCACCTCCTTGACCTAATTTACTACTTGCCCTCCTGTTCAGTCATCTCCAGCCAAACTGAAATCCATGCCTTAGGATGTTTGCATTTGCTTCCCTGCACCCAGAGAATTCTTCCCCTTCATATCTTCATGGCTCCTTCCTCAAGGAGGAAGCTATCTTAAGGCTTTGCTCAGGAATCTGTGGCTAGATATGTTTTATTAGCTCATTAGTTGGTGAAAATCTGCAGTCACCATCTCTTCAAATGCTGCCTTTAGCTAATTTTCTCTGTCCTCTCTTTTTGAGACTCTAACTACTGTTAAATCTTTTGGTCATATGTCAAATGTATCCTTTTATTTGTTTGTTTATTTATTTATTTAAATTTCTTTTCAGTGTTCCAGAGTTCATTGTGTATGCACCACACCCAGTGCTCCATGCAATACATGCCCTCCACAATACCCACCACCAGGCTCATCCAACCTCCCACACCCCTCCTCTCCAAAACCCTCAGTTAATTCCTCAGAGTCCACAGTCTCTCATGGTTCATCACCCCCTCCAATTTCCCCCAACTCCCTTCTCCTATCTCCCCATGTCCTCCATGTTATTCCTTATGCTCCACAAATAAGCAAAACCATATGATAATTGACTCTCTCCCCTTGACTTATTTCACTCAGCATAATCTCTTTCAGACCCATCCATGTTGATACAAAAGTTGGATATTCATCCTTTCTGATGGAGGCATAATACTCCGTAGTATATCTGGACCATATCTTCTGTTGAAGGTCATCTTGGTTCTTTCCACAGTTTGGTGACTGGCCATTGTTGCTATGAACATTGGGGTACAGATGGCCCTTCTTTTCACTACATCTGTATCTTTGGAGTAAATACCCAGTAGTGCAATTGCAGTGTCAAATGTATTCTATCCTTACTTCTGTGCTTTCACCTTCTGGTCTCAAAAATGATTTACTCTGAATATTTCCTAAACCTAACTTGTAGTTCATTATTTTTTTTATTTTGCTTTGTTTTCTGTTAAACCAATCCATTAACACTTAAGTTCATATACTGTATTTTCTGTTTTAGAGTTTCTATTGATTCTTTTTAAAAAATAACTTCTGGGGTACTTGGGTAGCTCAGTTGGTTAAACATGTGCCTTTGACTCAGGTCATGATCCCAGGATCCCAGGACCAAGTCCCATGTCAGGCTCCCTGCTCAGTGGGGAGTCTGCTTCTCCCTCTGCCTCCTCTCATCCAGCTCGTGCTCTCTCTCTCTCTTGCTCTCTCACAAACAAAATAAATAAAATCTTAATTTTTTTTAAATTTTCTGATCAAATTTCCTATCTAGTCATTAATTTTCTTGTACACATTAATCAGTTATTTAAAAATTCACTTTTGGATCTCTTTCAGTTCTGTTTCTAGTGCCTGCTTTTTTTCCCTCTTGGTTTTGGTTATTTGGTTCTGTTGCCTGGTTTGCCTAGTAAATTTCATTGAATTACAGCCATTATTTATGAAAAAAATCTAGAACTAACTTGAGACTCTGGGATTAAGTTATCTCCTGGCAGGAATTTAGGGTTTGGGAGGATAAAAATGAACGAGCCTGGAATTGAGCTGAATTGAAGCTTTGACTTCAGTCTTTGTGGAACTGATGAATTTCCAGGTTGCCCTTATTTTTGAGGGGTGTTGAACATCAGTGGTCCCATGTGGTATTTACCAGGTCCTTCCCTCTGTGATCTGAATTGAGATTTTGTGTCTCCACAGCTCTACAAGATGGCTGAAATCTTAACCTCTCAGCAGTTTCTTCCAGGCTTCTTAGCCTCTGGTCGCCATTTACTAATTGGTAAATACCTCAAGAGAAGACAGAATATAGGACTCACGATGCTGTATTTCTCTTCTCCTTGAGTTCTTGATCCTTGAAGTTAAATAGTTCCCCAATTCCTTCAAACAGAATATTTAAAAGGCATTTACCTGGCTTTTTCTTGTCTTCAGGGAGAAGTTTGGTATGATCTAAGCTAACTGTCACCTTCATTATGACATCTTTACTGACACCCTGTAGAAACTGCAATATATCAGCTCCCCTCCTCTATTCTGATACTTTCATTTCTCTTCTCTGCATTTCTTTCCTGTACAACATTCATCAGTATTTTATACACCATATTTGTTTATTATTTATGTGTAATCTTCACAAAATAAAGGCTCTAAGAAAGAAAGAATCTATATATGTTTTTTTCTTCCATTGTATTCTTCCTAGGCCCTAGAACAAGCAATGCTTGCAATGGAGATTAATTAACCAACCAAATTAAAAATTTGGGAGAAGATACTCTCAAATGACAGTACAGACAAAGGGCTGATATTCAAGATCTATAAAGAACTCCTCATATTCAACACACACAAAACAGATAACACATCAAAAAATGGGCGGAAGACATGAACAGACACTTCTCCAAAGAAGACATACAAATGGCTAATAGACTCATGAGAAAAATCATCACTAGCCATCAGGGAGATTCAAATCAAAACCCATTGAGATATCACCTTACACCAAAATCAACAAGGCAGGAAACAACATGTGCTGGAGAGGATGTGGAGAAAGGGGAACCCTCTTACACTGTTGGTGGGAATGCAAGCTGGTGCAGCCACTTTGGAAAACAGTGTGGAAATTTCTTAAGAAATTAAATATAGAGCTTCCCTATGACCCTGCAATTGCACTATTGGATATTTACCCTAAAGATACAGATGTAGTGAAAAGAAGGGCCAATGTGCATAGCAGCAATGGCCAGTCACCAAACTGTGGAAAGAACCAGGATGCCCTTCAAAAGAAGATATGGTCCAGATATACTAGATTATTATGCCTCCATCAGAAAGGATGAATAACCAACTTTTGTATCAGCATGGATGGGACTGAAGGAGATTATGCGAGTGAAATAAGTCAAGTGAGAAAGTCAATTATCATATGGTTTCACTTTCTTGTTGAGCATAAGGAATAAAACTGAAGAAATTGAGAGAAGGATGGGAGAAGTGAGTTGGGGGAAATCGGAGGGGAAGATGAACCATGATAGACTATGGACTCTGAGAAACAAACTGAGGCATTTAGAGGGGAGGGAGGTGGGGGTTGGGGGAACCTGGTGGTGGGTATTGTGGAGGGCATGTATTGCATGGAGCACTGGCTGTGGTGCATAAACAATGAACTCTGGGAACTGAAAAGAAATTTTTAAAAATTAATTAAAAAAGAAAAAAATTGGTTAATGAGTGAAAAAAATGAATGAATGAATGAATGAATGAATGAATAACATTTTTGAGTCACTTGAGATTAAATTTGGATTAGATACTTCTTGGTGGTAGAGACAAAAGATAAAATCTCATGGATTGAAATGCTCTTATTATCTGTTAGAAGAAATGATGCCATTATTAAAGAAGTACAAACTTATTTCCTGCCACAACATTCTTAAAGGAATTTATTACCTGATATTGTATGTAAAAGACTTTTCATGATATAATAAATAATATATTGAATAGTAGTTTCATAGTAAATGCAGAAGATTTTACGTGATTCTTTTGATTCAGTTATCAATAAAAATTGAGAAAAACTAATTTGAGCTGGAAAGGTAAGGGCTGAAAAAAAAACACAAGGTAATTACAATGGCAACATTTGTGTTTTACAGGTAATTCTCAGAAATGTAATGATTGAATCCAGTAACAGCAATAATAACAATCACAAAATTTAGCAGTGACAAAGGGCAGGTTAATTGCCCATCTGAGCCTCAGTTTTCCTTTTTGTCAAACGATAATAATAAGAACCCCATTCTTTCCAGAAGAACCGCAGTGAATATTAAAGATAGAATTCAAAATTCTGGCTAACAAACAGCTGAATTGATTTTTCACCATTGACAAAATAGTGAAATATTTTGTGGGCATTTTCACATTAACATCATCAGGTTCTGTGATGCAAATATTATCATCACTCTGTTTTCCAGATGAGGAAACCAAATCCTAGAGGCCCAGTTGGCATAGCCAGTGAGCAGTTGGGATGCAAGTCATCCCTTTGTCTTTTGATTGATGTGCTCTGTCTCCAGAACCATGTTGTCTCTCCAAAGGAAGGATTCGGAAGTGGTGGAAACTCAGACATCAGGGCAGACAGTTGAGGGTCTAGTGGCCTTTCTGATGTTCCTGTGGTTGCTCCACGTAGACTTAGCTCATCTACTCTTGCAGATGTGGAAGCAAATAAAAATCCCAAAAGCTGGTTCCACGTTAACACCAAACCCCAAGGTCTTGGGACCAGATGAATTCCCCCAAGTTATGAGAAACCTACACAACTTCAACTTTTTCTTAGGCAAGAGGAAAAACATTTCATTTTTTCTTCTTATAAATCTATATTTGGTCTTTATCTGGAGTTGCATATAAATCCCCTCCTAAAGTCTGATTCAATAAATTGACTCTATCCTTTGAATTTTGCAATGGCCTCAGGCTATCTGGGTATGAGAAATGCCTTCACAAATATCAAAGACGTAGTAATTGTATCCCTCTAAATGTTAAGATTAAAATATCTGGTACTCTGTGGGGGACAGACCTCCTTGCTCTCCTGGTCTCCTTGCTAGAGGCCATGGTGCTACCTTGGGCTAACAGAGCCCTCTTTCCTGGGAGGAGATGGGAGTTTATGTAGGCCTAGAGCCTTCCAGGAAGCTTTTGAACTCAGGACCTGGGACAGCACATACTAAGGGTTTTCTATAGCTCTCATGACCTCATCCATTGGCATTTTATCTCTGGTTCTAAGGTCAAAGGAACTGGGAGCAGATGAAGCATTTATTTTATGGTCTAACAGATTGGCTAGTATCTTAGATAAGCCAATTCTTTAGGAAAAAAAATATGCCAAGAAAATGCAATTACATTTAGCTGGAGCTAAAACCCCACACAATGCAATAATGATGCCATCATTTATTTTTCTTCTGTCTTTGTGCCAAATACCATATGTGCATTTCATATCCATTATTTCACTTATGTCACATAGTTTCTATACAAAATGCAGCATCATCCTCTGTTTGCAAATTAAGAACAGAGCCTTTAGAGGGTAAGTGACTTGTACTATCATTCCATGTTAGATGGGTTGTAGAGCTGAGATTTGAATCCAATTCTCTCTGATACCAAATGTAGCCCTCTTTCCCTTCACTGTTACCATTATTTATTATAGGAGTGATGGTCAGTATAGTATCATTTGTGATAGGTGGTTCCAATCATTTCTGCCTCATGGTGACTATGGGCTGGACCTAATGACTTACTTTTAACAAGTAGAATAGAGCAAAAGGATGGGATGTCACCTCTGAAATTGGGTTGCAAGGAAGCAGCAGCTTCTGTCATGGGTTTTTGCTTCCTCCCTTTGTTTCCCTCTGGGTGAAGTAAGATACATGTTAGAGAAGCTATGTGACAGCTATGTGTCTTAAACAGATAGCAGGTGAGGACATAACCTGCCAATAGCCACAGGAGTGGGTTGGGAAGCACGTCCTCCCCAAGAAGAGCTTTGTGGTGAATGCAGCCAGAGCTAAGCTCTCCATTGTAGTCTTATGAGAGACCTAGAGTCAGAAAGCTCCAGCTAAGCCATGCCCGGATTCCTGACTTAGAGACACTCTCAAATAAATAAATATATTATTTTTGCCACTAAGTTTTGGGGTAATTAGTTAAATAGCAATAGGCAGCTAATATGCCATTCATTAAATACTCCCAGTACTAACACTACTGTAAGAATAGTCACTACTCTTCAATATTTTACAACATAAAGAGCGCATTCTAAGTGTTTTATATATAGCAAATCATATTATCCTCTCCACAATGCTGTTAGGTACCCCCATTTTATAGGTAAGGAGCAGACACACAGAGAAGTTAGGGCACTGGGTCCAGGGACTTAGACACCCAAGGTCCATTTCCAAGAGGGAATTGTAGGTGGACTGCAAGAAGGGCCATAGTGAGAGGAGCCAACTGTGTCCCAGAAGTCACTCGGTCATCACTTGGCTGTGCTGTGCTATGCTGGGCTGGGCCCTAAACTCTGGGCTCTAGGCTTCAGGCTGTAGTTGTGACCAGGTCTTCTCCTGGGTCACTAATCCTCCCTGGAACAAACAGTGAGTACTTAGGGAAGATAGCTTCCTTTATGTATCTCATTCTCAGGCCAAGCGGAATGGGTAGCAGAATATGTGCTTCCCAGGCGGGAATTTGAAACTGCCAGAAGGGTAAGAGGAAACACATGAGATCTTGTACTGTCTGGCCTTGTTGCTTGCTCACTGCTGTGTCTGTCCAGGTTTCATTGGCCAAAGCCGGGTCCTGAAGGATACAATGTGATTCAGGCAGAGAGGAATGGAATACGCTTTCTAGGAGGAGGGTCAGCATTGCTAATACGGGAACTTTGTGGATCATTTGGGGGCTGCATGGCAGATGGGGAGTGTCCACATGGAGTGATGAGAAATTCTGCAGGGAAGCTCAAACCTACCCGGATAATTAAGCCAAGCCTCCTACTCGCCCCCCGCCCCTTCTCACCCCTGCCATCTGGGAAGTCAGAGGTAAGAGTCTAGGAGGGATCATTTCAAAGAAAGACAACTTTGTGGAGATCTATGGTCATGCTTGAGGAATTCACTCATTCTTTAACCTATTCTCTCAACACACAGTTTCGAGTCCCTGTCATATACAAGGTAATTAGCTAGCATAGTGGGAGATCAAAATCAAGTGAGGGAGATATATGTAAGCGAGCCATAGAATTCATGGTAGTGGTTCCTGGAACAGAGCTGAGTGGAGTGCTAGGGTGTGAGGGAGAAGTGAGGGAGAGGTGCTGGAGGAATCCTAGAGGAAGGGATCCACAGAAAGCACTTGCAACAGGA